TTTTTTAAATATAGGCTTGTAGAGATCGACGAGACGGAACTTTTTTCTATTTGCAGTTTTTTGTTCGATGCTTATTTTTAATAATAAAAATAAAAAACTGAAAAATTTTATCCCCCAAATTCAATAAGATTTTAAGATATAAATCGTCGTAATTTGGTCAAATTTTATTAAAATTGTTTGAAATTTGGTATACGCATGCAGTATAGTCTAGCGATGCCTACAAAACAATAAAGAAGCTGAAAATCGCCTATTGTTTAATAATAATTAATTGCAAATTGAGGCCAATCGGTAACCACGTTTTTTAGTTTTGCCGACAAAAAGTATCGAGGAAACTTGAAATTTGAAACAACTTCCAGTGATACATTTGTTCCTCACTACTGAAGGAAGATTTCTGGAAATTTTCAGATTGATTCATTGAAAATTTGCGGAAATATGCATTTTATAAGAAAACATGCGACACCGGCAATGATAGCTTTGTGAGCGCTGAGCACTATCAGGCAGCGTACTCACCGTTCGGATTTCCAGGACTCGATGTATAACCATTAAAAAATCATTATAAAATCGAGTCCTGGAAATCCGAACGGTGAGTACGCTGCCTGATAGTGCTCAGCGCTCACAAAGCTATCATTGCCGGTGTCGCATGTTTTCTTATAAAATGCATATTTCCGCAAATTTTCAATGAATCGATCTGAAAATTTCCAGAAATCTTCCTTCAGTAGTGAGGAACAAATGTATCACTGGAAGTTGTTCCAAATTTCAAGTTCCCTCGATACTTTTTGTCGGCGAAACTAAAAAACATGGTTACAAATTGGCCTCAATTTGCAATTAATTATTATTAAACAATAGGCGATTTTCAGCTTCTTTATTGTTTTGTAGGCATCGCTAGACTATACTGCATGCGTATACCAAATTTCAAACAATTTCAATAAAATTTGACCAAATTACGACGATTTATATCTTAAAATCTTATTGAATTTGGGGGATAAAAATTTTTCAGTTTTTTATTTTTATTATTAAAAATAAGCATCGAACAAAAAAACTGCAAATAGAAAAAAGTTTCGTCTCGTCGATCTCTACAAGCCTATATTTAAAAAAATTAATGTTGCGACTTTCAAAATTTTCATGCTCTGGGACGTTTGGACAATACTTTTACAGGATTTCAAGCGCTGGGCGAATTCTTTGATCCGGGCCGTCAATACTATCTATCTGTTACGCTCGGTCGACCCGCTGAACTTATTTTTAGCCGAGCGCGCGTCACACAGGTACAGCGTTTCGTGTGTGCGTGAGATGTGCTTGGGCTCGAAATCCCGCTGATCTTATCCGCACGCGCTGATATTGTACTTTATTTAACTATTCTTTAATGTTTTTTTTATAAACTTCTTATATCAAAAAGTTTAATTTTTTGTGTGAAATCTTTACATATTCAGCAAGCACTAAAATACATATTGATGCGCGAAAGATGCCGAGATCATCTCTCTATTGCGCAATATATAATTACCAGGAAAATATCAGAATAACAAAAGTCTTAATTTATTTAATTTATTTTATCCATAAATTCGTAATACGTTCTTTAGCCTATTAAAAATCAAATATCAAATAACTTTGCTCCACAAGATATCAAAACTCGAATTAAGAGTATCATTTTTAAATCATTTTGTAAACAAATTTAAGATTGCTACTTTTACTTATACATTCGACAGCAAAATTAAAGTATTACTCATTCTGCTCTCTAAAAATAGGCAAATTTCGAAAGAGTGTAACTTTGTCAAAAATGATCATAATAAAATATTCCATATTCAAATTTTAAATTTGAAATCTTTACTTTTCAGATTAGACTTTATTAAACAAGTTACTGATTTTTTACGAAACTACACGGATACAAATAAAGAATGCAAAATGCGTTAAAATTTCAAAATTTTTGTATGAACTTTGCAAAGTTCCATGACATAAATTAAAAATCGCACACAAATTGCGGTTTATAGCTTTTGAAAAGTGTTAATATTGAAGCAAAAATGATTTTTTTACTTTAACATTGAATAATTTGTTGAAAAAATTGCACAACGTTCAAACGAATAAATTAAAGGTAAAGATTCACGCTTTCAAATAATGTAAACCGCATTTGTAT